ACAGTCAGTGCCCAGGCTCTGAGTTCAAGCCCCAGGACTAGAAAAAATAAATAAAAATAACATTTAAAGTCACCAGGTGCTAATACCACATCACCCCCAAAAAATTGTGTTTTGTTTTGCCAGTCGTGGGGCCTGAACTCTGGGCCTGGGCGCTGTCCCTCAGCTCTTCAGCTCAAAGCAAGCACTCTACCACTTGAGCCACAGCATCACTTCTGCCTTTTTCTGCTTATGTGGTGCTGAGGAATTGAACCCAGGGCCTCAGGCATGCAAGGTAAGTACTCTACCACTGAGCCACTTTCCCAGCTCAAAATTGTGTATTTTTAAAAAAGGATCCAAGTGCTAGTGTCTCAGTACCTGTAATTCTACCTACTCAGGAGGCTAAGATCCAAAGAGTTGGTTCAAAGCCAGTCCAAGCAGTAAAGTCCATGAGAGACTCATCTGTAATTACCCACTAAAAAGAGCTGGAAGGGGCTGGGAAAGTGGCTCAGTGGTAGAGCACTTGCCTTGCATGCCTGAGGCCCTGGGTTCGATTCCTCAGCACCACATAAGCAAAAAGAAAAAAGCCGGAAGTGGTGCTGTGGCTCAAGTGGTAGAGTGCTAGCCTTGAGCTGAAGAGCTGAGGGACAGCGCCCAGGCCCAGAGTTCAGGACACACGACCAGACCCCCCCCCCCAAAAAAAAAAGAAAGAAAAAAAAGAGAGAGAGAAGAAAGCTCAGGGACAGCGCTCAAGCCCAGAGTCAAGCCCCAGGAGCACGCATACATACATACATACATACACACACACACTCACATGCATGCAAGCACTCTCAATCTAACTAGATGAGGTGACTCAATCAAGCTTGTAATGTTAGCTACTTGGAAAACAGAGATAGATGAATAAGAGTTCAATGCCAGCACAGGCAAAAAGAAGGTCACAAGACACAATTAACTGGGTGCGATGACACATATACAAGGATGCAAAAGTAGGAAGATCACAGCCCAGGCCAGTCCAGGGATAAACTGAGATCCTACCTCCAAGATAACCAACATAAAGAGGGACTGGAGGGCTGGCTATAGTGGTAGAGTTGCCTGCCTCGCCTAATCTGATTATACAATCTTTCTCAGCAAAATACAGGGGGCTGACACTACTGTATTTATCTACACAAGCTGAAGAGTCAATGCAAATCTAGCAGTAAGGAAAAAAACTGGTACCTCATGGTGTCTGTGGAATCAAGCCAGGCTTCAGCTCACATACTACCAGCAGGTGTTTAACCATCTGGCTGTGAGGTCATGCTAGTGACCTCACAAACAGAAGTTCTGAGGCTGCTTTGGGATGTAGTCTCATCATGTTAAAGAAAAAAAGAGAAGGTTCTGTATCCTGGAACCTACAGCTAATGACAAGTGAAATGAACCTTGATCCTCCCATCTGAGGTGAGCGGCATCACACTCTATCTAGGCAGAAACAACAGGTGAGCAGAAAAAAGCCCACGCGCCTAAGAAGCAATACATCAGTAACACACGTACAGAGACTTCAAGTTTCCAAATTGTTGTTTTGACTTCACTTTATCTGGCTTTTCTCTTGGAAAACTAAGCTGTATTGAATAATTCTGAAAACTGAGTAGGAAGTAAATTATAAGCTTTCCTTGCCACCTTAACATATTGCTAACTTCAATAACCCCAATATTTACTCTACTTACTGAGAGGAGTGAAGATGTGAATGTGTTCATTCTGAAAATGTTAGAAGTGTAAGGTCTTGCCATAACTGTGGAATAGCATATACCTGCTAAGAAGAGGCAAAATACCTAGGGTGCTTGGTGTTTCCCCCTCTTCAAAATTTTGGAATTTACAAACCAGTAAAGAATAAAGATTAAAGATACTATTTTTTAATAATTATGACTCCAGCCATAGACAAGTATGATGATGAGGAGCTATTAGCATTCACGTAAGGTGATGGTACTCTTCCTCTACTCTTGTACAGATGTTGAAACTTTCAATAATTAAAAAGTTTTAGCAGGGCACTGGTAGCTCATGCCTGTAATCCTAGCAACTCAGGGAAAACTCAGGAGGCTGAGATTTGAGGATCGTGGTTCAAAGCCAGCTCAGGAAGGTAAGGCCATGAGATTCTTATCTCTAATTAATCAACCAGAAAACCGAAGTGGAACTGTGGCTCAAAGTGGCAGGTCTTCTAGTCTTGAGCAAAGAGCAGGGACAGTGCCTGAGTTCAAGCCCCATGACTGACAAAATAATAATAACAAGCAGAATTCTCATCTGCTTTTTTTTTTCTTACCACATTTCTTAAAAGTATTTCTCGGCCTGGGGATATGGCTCAGTGGTAGAGTGCTTGCCTAGTGTGCATGAAGCCCTGGCTTCAATTCCTCAGTACCATGTTAACAGAAAAGGCCAGAAGTGGCGCTATGGCTCAAGTGGTAGAGTGCTAGCCTTGAGCTTCAAAAGAAGCTCAGGGACAGAGCCCAGGCGCTCAGTTCAAGTCCCAGGACTGGCAAAAAATAAATAAAATAAAAAGTATTCCCCCCCCCCATTCTTATTTAAATGTCATGGCTCAAAAAGTAAAAACAGCTTGTCTGAGAACTAAAATACCAGGATTCTGTCCCAGCTGCATGACCTTGAACAACTTATTTGCTCCCCCCTCCCCCGTATTCTCATTTATAACCAGCAAATACTATTTGTTAATTAATCAATTTTTTTTTTTGCCAGTCATGAGGCTTGACAACTCAGGGCCTGAGCACTGTCCCTAAGCTTCTTTTGCTCAAGGCTAGCACTGGAGCTGCAGTGCCACTTCCAGCCTTTTTTGTGTATGTGGTACTGAGGAATCGAACCAGGGGCTTCATGGATGCTAGGCAAGCACTCTACCACTGAGCCACATTCCCAGCCCCAGATGATACTGTTTTAATTAACACCTCCTGTCTGTTTGAATTTCCCTATAAGTGAAAGGTAAGGATTCAGAAGTGAAAGGAAAGCGATTGAGGCTCTACTTTTGCCAAAGTAAAACTACTCTGAAGAAGGAACCCAAATCAGATAAGATACTTCTAACAGGAGCAGCCTCCTGGCACTGTGTACAGCTGAACTGCCCTAAGCAAATCACATTTCTACACCTCAGCTCAGTCCACCCCACCTCTCAGCAGCAAAATGAAAACACTCCTTTATTTACTAAACCTGATAATTACTCAAGAGGCAAAAGGAGACTTCAAGAATTTGCAACGTATTTAACCTGCCAGGAGAGGGAGTTTAGCACCAAGCTTCCAGAAATGAACTGGCATGGAAGCCAGGCTTCATGGAAGCCAGGAAAACAGCAGAAGACAGGTTCATTGACTAAACTGAAGACAGCTACAGTCTGAGCCTTCTGGGCATCCTTCTATTCTAAAATATGCTGTGGTCATGAGCTTAGTAACAGAAGGAAATCATAGAAGTCTAGTTTGAGATAAAGATGTTCTTGATGCTGGCACTTAAGACAGACTTGAAAGAAAAATTAAAAGCCTTATGTTCTAATATCCTCTCCCTGGATTTGAGAAGTTCATTCACAGCTTACCATAACCCTTAAGTCATGGTTATGTAAGTGTCTGCTGTATGCTGTGTCATTTGCTGTCCCCCACTCCTGTGTTAGGAGTAACCTGAGCTGTTTGGCCTCAGACACCGAAAACACTTGCACAATACTGGGTAGTTTTCCAACCACAAAAGAAAAGTAAATTATTCTATTTGTTTTTCTTCTTTTAATTTCATTTATAATCACTTTTCTAAATATACAGAAATGTCTGGAAAAGAACTGAAAATATTTACATATTTTCTTTTCAGAAATTGATCTAAAAAAGATTAGGTATTTCATCTTTACAAGTGGACTACCAAAATCCAACCAATAAGCTCACAGGCCCTCTTTGGCCAATTTAAAAACATCTCCATTTCAACAGAAAGAAGCAGAGCATTGATGGCTTGTGCTTCTCACCCCAGCTATACTGGGAAGTCTAACATAGGTAGTAGATTGTAGTCCAGTTACAACTTAGGAAGGAAACCACCCCATCTCAAAAAAAAAAGCTGGGCACTGGTGGCTCACCTCCCATAACCTTAGCTACTCAGGAGGCTGAGATCTGAGGAACAGGTTTGAAGCCAAAGGTTCAGAAAAGGCCCTGAGAAGCTTATTGCTAATTAATATGCACAAAAAGCTGAAGAGAGGGTTTGGCTCAAGTGGTAGAGTACCAGACTTGAGCTGAAAAGCAAGTGAGAACCTGGGTTCTAGTCCCAGCATCAGCATGCACACACACAAGTGCGTGTACATACACATGGCATGCGCATGCACACAAAAAAGGAAGGATAAAGGAAGACCTAGATATGACAGTAATGCCATGAGGCAGAATCCAGTTAGATGCTGGACTCTGTATGGAAACTTTGTCCAAAAAAAAAAAAAAAAAAAGGTAGAAATAAGAGGATTTCTGGCCAGGCACTGGTGGCTCATGCCTGTAATCCTAGCTACTCAGGAGCATGAGATATGAGGATCATGGTTCAAAGCCAGCCTGGACAGGAAAGTCCATAAGACACTTACCTCCAATTAACCACCAGAAAATCAGAAGTGGCACTCTGGCTCAAGTGGTAAGAATGCTCACCTTGAGCTAAATTGTTCAGGGACAGCACGCAGGCCCAGAGTTCAGGCCCCATGACTGACACACACAAAAAAAGAGGATTTCTGTTCATGGCCAGCCTAGATAAAGTATGAGTCCCTATCTGAAAAACTAAAGCAAAAAAGGTTGGGGGCATAATTCAAGCACAGATTGCTTGTCTAGCAAGAATAAGGCCACTAGTTCAAATCTCAATACTGCCCCTTCCTTTACAAAAGAAGGAAAAAAGATAAATGAGAGGTATAGATAAACTAAAATATAAGAGAAGCCACAAAAGTATCAAGCATGTGTTCATACTTTCATTCAGCTCAATATATGTGATGTTTATTGTCTTGTCTTTACCAGATTTACTTATACCAACCCTAATGAGTCAAGTGTCAGAATAAGAGTACTCACAGCTATCTTCAAAAACATGGTTCTCAGTGAAGCACAGTGGCTCACATCTGTAAATCCAGCTACTCAGGAAGCAGAGATCCAGAGGATAGCCTTCAAAACACCCTCTATCTGAAAAATAAAGCAAAACAGGGCTAGGGACATAGCTCAAGTGGTAGATCACCACCCTAGCAAGCACAAAGCCTTGAGTTCAAACCCCAGTTTTACACACAGAAACATGGTTTTCAACATCTGTATTTGCCACAATGGAGGTCCTTTTTAATTTATGATCATTGTGTCATGAAAAAAGTAAGTTCCTAAATGTTTACTGAATAACAAAGCCATGCACCGTTCTTTTTTCAGCCTACTGTCAAGACAGTAACAAAATAAAAAATTGTTAGCATGCTTCCTGAAGCCATAGTTCTATTTGTTCACCTTATGGAATAGGTCACCATATCTACCTTCACTGGTATTTTTCTTTCTTTCTTTCTTTTTTGGTTGGTCATGGGACTTGAACTCTGGGCCTGGGTGCTGTTGTTCCTCAGCTCTTTAACTCAAGGCAAGCGCTCTACCACTTGAGCCACAGCACCATTTCCAGCTTTTTCTGTTTATGTGGTGCGTAGAAATCGAACCCAGGGCCTCATGCATGCAAAGCAAGCGCTCTACAACTGAGTCACCTTCCCAGCCTCACTGGTATTTTTCTACATATAAGTATGTATGTACATTTCATACCAAGCCATAACTTCTTTTTTTTTTTGGTCAGTCATGGGACTTGAGATCAGAGACTGGGCGCTATCCCTGAACTTCTGTGCTCAAGGCTAAACCCTACTACCACTTTGAGGTCACAGTTCCATTTCCAGTTTTCTGATAGTTAAAAATGGAGATAAGATTCTCACAGACTTTTCCACCCACACTGGCTTTGAACCATGATCCTCAGATCTCAGTCTCCTAAGTAGCTAGGATTACAGACATGAGTCATTAGAGTCCAGCATCTATAACTTTTTAAGAAGGCCAAATTATTAAGATTTAAAAAGTCAACTGCTAGCTGGGTGCCGGTGGCTCACGCCTGTAATCCTAAATACTCAGGGGGCTGAGATCTGAGGATCATGGTTCTAAGCCAGCCTGGGCAGGAAAAGTCCATGAGACTCTTATCTCCAATAAACCACCAGAAAACTGGAAGTGGCACAGTAGCACAAGGGATAGAGCACTAGCCTTGAGCTGAAGAGCTGAGGGACAGCTCCCAGGCCCAGAGTTCAAGCCCAACAACCGACTCCACACCCACCCCCCCCCCAAAAAAAGTCAACTGCTAATCATTAGCAAGGCTAAAGTACAAAATATAAGTAAATAATGTAGCTTCTGTTTAAAAGGATCAATGTGAAAAGCTTGCCTAGACACTAAAGGACTGACAGGAGCCAGTGAGAGTCACAAAATTAATTGGCTCTTTAATTCAAAAGGTATTACAAGGAAATGTGCCTTCCAGTTTCTAACTGAGCCCTTACAGAGCAATTTATAAAATTAACCTGTCAGCATTAAGTGTTGGTTGGAGAATATCATACAATAAGATACTGACAGTAAATAGAAAGTTTTATAATATCCTTTCATCAAAGCCAATAGTAGTAGTAACCCTTTGAAAAATTATATTGTGCTTGAAAATTACATGTTCTTTAAATGTAATGTGTACTACCCAGTACAGAGTACAAGTTGTACCCACAGCAGTTTAAAAAAGACAGGAGAGAGTGTTAAAAACCAAGCCAGGCAGAGGGCTGGGATATTAGACAATGTTTTTTTTAAAGATGGAACTCTCTGCTATGATGCAACTGCCTGTGATGATGAATGTCTGCACAGCTCAGCTGGAGGAAGATTTATTTTATGTTCCTATGGCTTACATACACAAGTTCTTCCATCTGCAAAGGAATTTAAAAGAAAAAAGGAGTGTGTAAGCTGAATAATTTTCTGCTCTCTTTCACAACATTCTACAAAATTCCTGTGACTTTGTAATGCTAATGTTTATCACTGGCTTAGAAACAGATCTTAAAAGGGATTAAAATGACTAGGCCTGGTTAGTATCTCCCTAAAGAACTTACTAGGTCGGCAGCAGTCAATTATACTAATGTGTAAAAGGGAACAATGTGCTTATTATAGCAATATAAAATTTTAGACTCAGAAGAGACCTTAGCAATCTAGTTCAACTTCATCATTTTACCACTGAAGAAACTGATTCTAAAAATGAAATCACTTGGGAAGGTCACAGTTACTTGAGAGTCTAGTCTAGGATTGAAACCTTCATGTGTAGATTAAGGACTCTTGACCCTAAAGTACACTAACATCAATACTAACACCAAATTTCTTTTTTTTTTGTCGGTCGTGGGGTTTGAACTCTGGGCCTGGCGCTGTCCCTCAGCTCTTCAGCTCAAGGCGAGCGCTCTACCACTTGAGCTACAGCGCCACTTCCGGTTTCCTGGTGGTTTATTGGAGATAGGAGTCTCACAGTCTCTCCTGCCCGGGCTGGCTTTGAACCGCGATTCTCAGATCTCAGCCTCCTGAGTAGCTAGGATTACAGGCGTGAGCCACCAGCGCCCGGCTCTAACACCAAATTTCTGATCTGTTCTATATGAGAGAGATGAAGAGACACATCTTTAGCTCTACCACTTTAACCACAGAGCCACTTGCGTCTTTTTCTGTTGATGTGGTGCTGAAGAATGGAACCCAATGGGGCTGGGAAGATGGCTCAGTGGTAGAGTGCTTGCCTTGCATGCCTGAGGCCCTGGGTTTGATTCCTCAGCACCACATAAGCAAAAAGAAAAAAGCCGGAGGTGGCGCTGTGGCTCAAGTGGTAGAGTGCTAGCCTTGAGCTGAAGAGCTGAGGGACAGCGCCCAGGCCCAGAGTTCAGGCCCCACAACCGGACCTCCCCCCCACAAAAAAAAGAATGGAACCCAAGAGCTCATGCATGTGAGGCAAGCACTCTACCACTGGGCCACCTTCCCAGCCCTCCTTTTTTATTTTTTCCAGTTCTGGGGCTTGGACTCAGGGCCTAGGCACTGTCCCTGAGCTTTTTTTGCTCAAGGCTAGCACTCTACCACTTGAGCCACAGTGCCACTTCCTCTTTTTTCTGTGTATGTGGTACTGAGTAATCGAACCCAGCCAGCACTCTAAGCCACATTCCCACCCCCGAAGAGACACTTGAGGCACAGTAACAATAACTTCCTTTTCCAACCTTCCATAGGAAGGCATATTGCTGCCTGCCCTTAAACAGTCACATGTGCAAAAGCACACCAACTGCTTGTTCTGAACAAGAAAAGGTCACAGAAAATTCAGAATAATCACAGACTTCCTTAGTGTGTCTCTTTCCTTTCTCTCTTTCTCCCTCCTCACTCTGTGCCAGTATTGGAGCCAGAACTCAGAGCCTAAGCATAGTCCATTAGCTTTTTTATTTTTTATTTTTTGCTCAAGGCTGGTTTGAGGCATAGCTACTCTTCCTGTTTTTTGCTGCTTAATTGAAGATAGTCTCATAGAATTTTCTGCCCTGATGGCTTTGAACAGCCATCCTCAGATCTCAAGCCTCCTGAGTATCTAGAATTACATGCATAAGCCACTGACACCCAACTTGGTTGTTTTTATTTTATAAAGCTTTTGTATTTTTACTTTGAAAATGAATAGATTTAATAACTGTTCTAAGTCTTGAGACCTCATGGCAAAAATTATATTTTCACAATACTATGCCACCTAGCTATTTCAAGAGATCGGTCTACTCAATGTACTCCCAAGTCTCTAAGATAGTTTCTGAAAACCAACCTAGATGCTACCAGTAGAAACTACATATTGGTGGGGCTGGGAAGGTGGCTTGGTGGTAGAGTGCTTGCCCAGCATGCATGAGGCTCTGGGTTCAATTCCTCAGTACCACATAAACAATAAATAAAATTAATTTTAAAAAAAGAAACTACATATTGGTTTCATTTGGATTTTATATCTCACCTTTAGTGTTAGTTATATTTACCTGGCGTAACTACCTTCTGTTAAGACATACACAGCAGACTTCAGAAAGAAAAACCTTTCTTTTAATTAAACTGCAAGAAAGAAAACTGACAGCCATACCAAAGGGCCTGAAAGTCAGCCAGGTGCAAGTTCTGACAGAAGGAGCACAGTTGCCCTTCAATAATGTGCAGGACACTCCTACTCAAATTAACTTTCTAAAACATGGCAGGCAACATTTTGAATTTAAAACATTTTGAATTTAAAAAGCTGGCAGAAGCTGGGGGCTGGTGGCTCATGTCTGTAATCCTAGCCACTCAGGAGGCTGAGATCTGATGAATCCTGGATCAAAGCCAGCCCAGGCAGGAAGGTTCAATTAACCATCAGAAAACTAGAAGTAGCACTGTGGCTCAAGTAATAGAGCACTTGCCTTGAGGTGAAGAGCTCAGGGACAGGGCCCAGGCCCAGAGTTCAAGCCCCATGATGGACAAAAAAAAAAAAAAGCTGGCAGGGATATGGGGAAAAAGGAACACTCTTGCACTGCTGGTGGGAATGTAAATTAGTACAACCACTCTGGAAAACAGTTTCCAGGTTCCTCAAAAAATTAAAACAGGGCTGGGAAGGTGGCTCAGTGGTAGAGCGCTTGCCTTGCATGCCTGAGGCCCTGGGTTCGATTCCTCAGTACCACATAAGCAAAAAGAAAAAAGCCGGAAGTGGTGCTGTGGCTCAAGTGGTAGAGTGCTCGCCTTGAGCTGAAGAGCTGAGGGACAGCGCCCAGGCCCAGAGTTCAGGCCCCATGACCGGACCCAAAAAAAAAATTAAAACATAGGGCTAGGAAGGTGGCTCAGTGGCAGAGTGATTGCCTTGCAGGTATAAGGCCCTGGGTTCGATTCCTCAGCACCACATAAACAGAAAAAGCCAGAAGTGGTGCTGTGGCTCAAGTGGTAGAGTGCACAGGCCCAGAGTTCAGGCCTCATGACCTACCCCTCAAAAAAAAAAAATTAAACATAGACCATACCACTCATAGGCATCTACCCTGATCATCATGATAAGCATGCGTGCGTATCCATGTTCATTGCCATGCCAATCACAATAGCCAGAAATGACCCAGATGACCCACAATAGATGAGTGGATCCCAAAAATTTGGTACCCATATATAAT